AAAAGAAGAAATACAGACTTGTCCTGCAAGATATTATTTCTGCTGGATTTGACTGGTTGTTTCCTTGTATCATTTAGCTATTTATATTTAGTTCTTTCTTCCCTGTATTTTCTATAAATTGGAGGTTACAACAAGGGTTATGGGTTTAAATTAAACTTTTTTTGGGGGGGAGGAGGTTTTTGCTATAAGGCACATGCGCTTGCCAGAGAGACAGAAAGCCAGAAATCACCCCCCAGGGGGGATGGCCACCCTACAATCTCTTCTCCATTCTCCCCTCGAGATCTTAGGCATGCACGCACGTGTGCCTAGCATGAGTTTTTAAGCCACTGGGTCCAGGATTTGAACTGTGGTCAACTACATAGGAGTACAGCAACGTAGCCATTACAGCATCTGCTGGTCCTTTAAACATTTTTAGCGTAGGTGTTTTTAAGTTTAATTTAACAAGAGGTTCTTTGGTTGTTTACTCTATGGAAATATGTGTGGGTTTGTCTAAGTTATACAACTTTATTATATGAGTTATCTTCACATTCACCGCTTATGTTATCTTTGTTACAGTATGCTAACGTTTTTTATTCTCAAAAGGAAAACTATTTGGACTAATGATAGTAGATGTGAATTAGTCAGGTTTGGCTATATTCACAGATCTTACTTGAAGTGTCATACAGATACATGTAGAGTAGATTCTTAGATTGCAGAGTACAAATATGGAAAATAAATGTTACATTTTAAAATCTTCAAGTTACAAGTACCACCACAAAGTAGGTTGTCTTATAAGAGTAAAAATGTATAGACATCTCTCAATAAATATGACATTTGTGGGCCAGTAGGTGGTGTGGTGGTTAAAGGTGCTGGACTCTCACATGGCCTACTGTGGTTCAAGTCCTGGACCTGGCAACTTGCTTTTTCACTTTCTCTGTCTCTCTCTCTCTCTCTTGATCTATCACCCTCTAGTTAAATAAAGTTAAATAGTTCTTTAAAAAAATATGACATTTGTAGTAAATTGTTATATATATTGTAACACTTCGTGACACTTAACGTTTTGTCAAAGAATATATAAACGTATATTGTTAAAACAATTAAAATGGGGGTCCAGCAGGTGGCATGGTGGTTAAGGCACTGGAATTCCCACATGGCTAACCACAGTTCAGGTCCCGGACCTGGCGGCTTGCTTTCCTCACTCCCTCTCTTCCCCTCTTTGTCTTTCTCTGGCAAAACTCATGTGAAAAATAATAATCATAATAAATAAATAAGTAATTATTTTAAATTAAGATGGAATTAACTGAAACTTAACATCAATCATGAACTAACTTGAATTGGAAGAAAAAGATGATGTAGGGAATAGTGAATGAGAAAGCCATGTTGGGATGTAGATGCTGTGTGGTCAGTCAGGCTCACTAGCTAAATGATTCATCCCCCCCCCCCCCAGCCTGTGGCATTACATTAACATTTTGCTTTGGCAGTATTACAAATTACTATGTTAATCACCTTTTGTGTTGCCTCTTAAGTTGGTAAAACTGCTAGAGATGAATATGCAAATAAGAAGGGGTCTAATACAGTGGTTTCCAAATGTTCCGGGATCGTGCTAGGCAAGAAAATGGACTGCTAGAACATAGCATCCTGGTTCCCTTCCCTGGGAGACTGTTACTCTCATTGGGTTTGGGATAGAACCTGGAAGTCTGCATTTTCAAAAGTTTTCTTGTGGATTCTGATGTCTGATCTTGTTTGTGATCTGGTTGTACTGTTTATTCGTTGTTAATGTGGCTCACATAGTTAACTGTTTGACAGGTAATATTTTCATATCTCGAACATCAATCCCAAATGCTATCTCTGAAGAAGGAGATGAAGATGACTGGGCGTCCAACAAAGTTATGTTTAAAATAGGTAAGAGAGAACGATAACTAGGTCGTTGTCTTCTAGTAAAGGGAAAGGCTGCTTTGTTCTGTTTTGACTGTAACTCTTGACTGTTTTTTCAATAATACTTCTAGGTGACCTTGGGCATGTAACAAGGATCTCCAGTCCACAAGTGGAAGAGGGCGATAGCCGTTTCCTTGCAAATGAAGTTTTACAGGAGGTGACTTTTCCTTTAATAATACTGCTTGCTTTGTGACACTTACTAGTCGATCAGAGAACACACTCAGCCAGCTGCAGTGGTGGAGCACTGGCACAGCTCTCTAATCTGGAGGCCAGATGAGAACCTGGTTCCTAAGCATTCACAGGCATCTGCGATCCTGGCTGGCTGTGAGGGTGGGGGCTCTGTTGGGGGAGAGATAAAGTGTGATGCCCTGTCGAGGGTGATTGGGTGTTGGGGGCGAGGATAAAGTGTGATGCCCTGTCGAGGGTGATTGTCTTTTTCTTTCTCTATGACTCTTTCATGAAGAAATAAACCTAGATTTTTTTCTTAAAGTTTATAGCCAGTAGACTAGAAATACAAAGTAGAAAGTCTTAAACCATCACTAGCAGAAGTCAGTGAACGTTGGGGCTGGCATGGTGGATAAGGCACTGGACTCCCACATAGCCAACTATGGTTTGAGTCCCAGGCTAGTTTCCTTACTTTCTCTTTCTCTCTCTCATGAATTAAAATAATAATAAGTAAAATTAAATAAATTATTTTTTGAAATAGGGTTATGAATTTATCCTATTATCCTTATTAATTTATATCAATGACTTAGGCTTTCTGTACTCCTAAGTATACTTGATAGTCAAGGATCAGAAGGGTAATAGATACACAAACTACCACCAAATACCACTGGGAAATGGATTACAAACAGAAATATTTTTATTCTTGAAACTCTTGGCTACATCAATGCTTCACACATGATGTCAGTTAAAAGAAAAGTGTCATGCTGACTTCCGTGGGCATGCTGACAAAATACAAAAGATTAGTGCAAAATTAGTACACGTGGCCCAGCAAGAGCCATTGAATTGAGTCCCCTCCCTTCCCCTCCCCTCCTCCTCCCCGCCCATCTCCTCCCTTCTCTATCTCTGTCTCTATCTCTCACTCTGTTCCTTTCTGGTCAAATTAAAACAAATAAAATACATAAATTAAATAAAATTAAATAAAATAATTCTTAAAGAAGAAAATTGTCATTTCCAAGAGTATTTACTATATAAATATTCTTATGAAATACAAAGTGAGAACAATGTAACTGTTACAGATACATGTTTACTAATAAGAGAATAACTAAGTAACTTAGCACACATAGTTTCAAGGAGGAAGAGACAGAAAATACTTCTTTTTTTCATTGATTTATTATTTATTTTAAAGTTTTTTTTTTTTTCTAAGAGAAACAAATAGATAAGAACCTCCAACAGCCTTCACTGCAGCCCATCCCTAGTCAAAGCCAGTCTGCAGTTCTGGCATGTACCAGGAGGCCTAGGATGTGAACTGAGGACCTTTCCCACTAATTGTTTTACCACAGAGCCACCACCTGCCCCTATTGTTATATTTAATCGACAAGTAATAATTATATATACTATCAGATATGCAGTGATTTTTTTTTTTCAATACCACACGTACAATGTGTAATGATTAAAACAGGGTAATTAGCTGTCACCTCAAACACCAATGATTACTTTTGTGTTGAGAACACAAAATTCTCTTTTAATAAGAGTTTATTTAATTTTATTTATTCTTTTTTTTTTTTTTTTTTTTTTAATTTGACCAGAGAGAGAAAGTGAGAAACCAAGCCACCAGGTCCAGGACTCAAACCATGGTTGGCCATGTGGGAGTGTCCAGCGCCTTAATCACCAAGCCACCTGCTGGTCCCCTTTTGGTAAGAGTTTTGAATGAAAATAGAAGTAGAGCACTATAAAGTGTAGTTACGTGATCCTGCTGCTCTTTATGGCTTTCTGCTTTCTTCCACGTACACATGTGCACACTTGGTTGGTGTGCTTGTGCAGAGTGGTTTGTGTTTGATGTGAGTTCCTAGAGGGATAGGCAGGGATAGGCGTTTCGTCTTGGGCTACTGATAAAGCCTTTACTTTTAAATACATTTTAACCCCCCCCCTCAGTATATATGACTTTATAATTTTGAAAAGTAAAGAAAGCTTTCCAAATTTAGCAGCATGTTTTCTGAATAGGTCTTAAACTTAGATGTGGCATTGCAGTTCTAGCTTAGTCACCTAAATCATCATTGATGCATAATCTATTTTATTTTGACCATCTTTCCGTTCTCTTATGTTGTTCTTTTTAAATTTTACAGAACTATACCCACCTGCCAAAGGCAGATATATTTGCCCTTGCCCTCACGGTGGTCTGTGCTGCTGGTGCTGAACCTCTTCCCAGAAATGGAGACCAATGGCACGAAATCAGACAGGGTAGATTACCTCGGATCCCACAAGTGCTTTCTCAAGAATTTACAGAGTTGCTGAAAGTAAGTATTTTGTAGATGAAGCATTTTGACGCAGTTCAATATTTTATTAAATTATGTCTTTATCTTAATTTTACTTTTCTTCCCTCTTCCCCTTCAAGGTTATGATTCATCCAGATCCAGAGAGAAGACCTTCAGCAACGGCACTGGTAAAGCATTCAGTATTGCTGTCTGCTTCTAGAAAGAGTGCTGAACAATTACGAATAGAATTGAATGCTGAAAAGTTTAAAAATTCACTTTTGCAGAAGTAAGTGAGAGTTTTTTTTTCTTTTTCTCATTTTCATTAATTCTCCAATTTTTTGAAGTTGATTATTTTTTCCACGAGAGAGAGGAAGATACAGAGATATAGGCACTGCCAACATGGTCTTCCACCCCCAGTCTTAGCTGGCCTGGATCAGTGTGTGTGTGTGTGTGTGTGTGTGTGTGTGTGTGTATATAGACACGTACCTGGTGAGCTCCAGGGAGTCCCAGGATGTGAACCTAGAGCCTTTCTTGTGTGAGTCCAGTTTTGTTACCACTGTGTCTTTGGGGCATAATTCTGAAATTAAAAAAATATATATATATTTATTTTAAATTTTATTTATTATCATTATTCTTCAGTTTTGACCAGATAGAGCCAGAGAGAAATGGAGAGTGTGAAAGCAAGCCCAAGGTCCAGAACTTGAACCATGGTTGGCTATGTGGGAGTTCTGCACCTCAACCACCATGCCACCTACTCGCCCCATACTTCTCAAATTTAATGAGTCATGTTCAGTCTCTGTTAAAAGACATAATTTGATATGTTGCTATGCAGTTTGGGATCTTCTACTTTACATTCGTTTTTAACTTAGTAAATTTGTGTTATTTCTAAACCTTGAAATTACTAACCTTAAAAATGTTAAAAACGGGGGGGGGGGGGCAGCAGGTGGCATCCTGGTTAAAGGGGATGGATTCCCACATGGCCAACCATGGTTCGAGTCCCAGACCTGGTGTCTTGCTTTCTGGCTTTCCATTTCTCTCTCTCTTTCTGTCTGGTCAAATTAAAAAGTAATAATAACATGGAATTAAATAAAGAAATACTTTTAAATATTAAAAACTTCGTGTGATGGCATGCTGCAGCTGTAATCCTGGAGACCTGGGGAGATGTAGGCAAGAGGATCATGAGCTCGGGGCTGGCCTAGACAACCCTGTTTGGAAAACAAACAAAAACCAGGGCCATACATTATTCTTCAGTTGCTGTACAGTGGAAGCTGGATCCTACATGGCTAACCAAGGCTTGAGTCCAGGTCCTGGTGACTTGAAAAGCATGTAGCACATGTATACTCGAGATTCTGACTAGTTGGAAATCTGAGGACAAAATATTGTGGCGTGACCAGGCCCTGCTGGGAGTGTTCTGTCTGCCTCTCATTAGTGCTCATACATCATCTGGCATTTAATGGTGGCATATGGATGTTGTCCAAGCTTGGAAGCTGAGGCAGAAGGACTAGGCTGTGGTCAGAAGCTGTCTTTAAAAAAAAAAAAAAAAAAAAGAGTAGTATACGCTGGGGCCAGCAGGTGACACGGTGTTTAAGGACTGGACTCTCACATGGCTCACCATGATTTTTTTTTTTTAGAGGGTTTTTTTTTTTTTTTTTTTCTCTTTAGGGCTTTTGCGCCCCCCAACAACACAGGAGACATAGAGACAGAAAGCGAGAAATCACCCCCCAGGGGGGATGGTCACACCGCAATCCCTTCTCCTCCATTCTCCTCCTGGGATCTTGGGCACGCACGCACATGCGCCCGGCGTGAGTTTTAAGCCACCGGGGTCCGGGACGCGAACCGCGGTCGACTACGTGGGAGTCCAGCGACATAGCCATTACGCTAACTGCTGGTTTCCACCATGATTTGAGTTCTGGACCTGGCAGCTTACTTTCTCTCTGGTGAGTGCATGTGCCCTATAGCAAATTAAAAGTAATAATAATAAAATTAAATAAATGATTCTTAAAAAAAAAAGACCAGCATATTTTTCCAAGTATAGCCCCCAAGGAAACAAAAAAATGTTTACTTTGCAACATTCTATTCTACTTATTGAATTAGTGGTAGGTAGGTTAGTGGATGATCCTCATATTTGCCCTGAATTGACTTGATATTTTTGGAGAGCTAATTGCAGTGATAAAAGTTTTCTCGAAAAGGGAGAAATACTGGAGAGTACTAAGTAACCATAGATCACAGTACTAATTCTATTGATTTGTTGCTACTATTTTGATTCTAACCTAATGAAGCTGACTTAAAGGTTTATGTGGGTCTGCCCCATAGTGTAGTGGTAAAGGGAACTGGATCACGTATGACCAACTGTAGTTCAAATCATGGCCCTGGAGACTCATAAAACATGACAGGTGCTTGCGTGCCCAAAATTCTAACAGAACAGAAAAATAAAATGGAGAAGAGATCATGTGTGTAGCTACACCTCAGTGAGACAGTGCTTTCTCCTCTCATCTGTGTCTCTTGAGAGCACATGCCTTCTGGCAATTTAAAAAAACAAAACAAAGCATGACATTTAAAAAAATGTTCGGGGGGGGGGGCAGCATGTGGCATGGTGGTTGGGACGCTGGATTCCTACCCACATGGCCGATGGCAGTGTGAGCCCTAGACCTGGCAGCTTGAAAATCATGCTGGGCGTATTGTGTACACATGCCCAAAATTCCAAGAAGAGAATGGAGAAGGGATTGCATTCCCCTAGGGAGCGACTTCTCACTTGTCTTCTCTCCCAGACAATCATACGTACCTTGTGGCAAAGAAAAACCTTGGAAAAAAAAAAGTTTTATGTTTAATATTAAGATTTAATGTTTAAATTATAAATTTTATATTAAATATTAAGAGCTTTGGGGCCAGCAGTGGCATAGTGGTTGGGGCTCTGGACGTGTCCTATAGCAAAAACATCGAAAGATATGATAATAGTAAATAAAATTAAATTTTAAAAAAATAATAAAAGGCTTATTTGCTACTAATTTTGTATCCATCACAACTCATATTAAGTGGAAAGGAAAATGTTTTTTTCATCATTGTTCTGTAAAGAAAGATTCACAATGTCGGGACCAGTGGGTGGCATGGTGGTTAAGGTGCTGGATGCTCCCACATGGCTGACCACGGTTCAAATCCTGGACCTGGTGGCTTGCTTTCTCACCCTCTGTGTGTGTGTGTTTGTGTGTGTGTGTCTCTGGTCTAAAGAAAAATGAATGAATGAATAAATAAAGTTAAATAAATAATTAAAACTAACAAAATGTTTTTAAAAAAAAAGATTCACAATGTGGGACCGACCAGCAGGGTAATGATTCCATTTCAAGGCTCCCACAGAGTTGACCTGGTTTGAGTCCCAGATCTGGCGTCTTAAAACTCAAATCAAGGGGAGCCAGCAGTTAGCGTAATGGCTATGTTGCTGGACTCCCATGTAATCGACCATGGTTCGCGTCCCGGACCCGGTAGCTTAAACTCACTCTGGGCGCGTGTGCGTGCATGCCCAAGATCCCGAGAGGAGAATGTAGGAGAAGGAATTGCAGCGTGACCATCCCTCCTGGGGGGTGATTTCTCGCTTTCTGTCTCTTATGTCTCTGGCAAGGTCACGCGCCATATAGCGAAAAAAAACCCTAAAAAAAAAAAAAAACTCAGGGAGACTAGCAGTTGGCGCAGTGGCTATGTTACTGGACTCCCCTGTAGCCATCCGCGGTTTGAGTCCCAAACCGGTGGCTTAAACTCACACCAGGTGCATGTGCATGCATGCCCAAGATCCTGAGAGGAGAATGGAGGAGAAGGGATTGCGGCGTGGTCATCTCCCCTGGGGGGTGATTTCTTGCTTTCCGTCTCTGTCTTTCTGGTGAGCGCATGCGCCCTTATAGCAAAAACCTCTCCAAAACAAAAAACAAAAACAAAAACTCGGGACATGTGTGCAAAAAATCCTGAGGAGAATGAAAGAGAAGGAATTGTGGCATGGCCATCCCCCAGGGAGTGATTTCTTGCTCGCTTCTCTCTGTCTCTGTTTCTGGTGAGTACATGCATCCTATAGCAAAAATCTCTCTCAAAAAGATAGAAAGATTTACAATATAAATTTGAAGTTTTATTTGAAATGATATTTTTAAGACTTAAAGTTGTTACTAGCATAATTATTGTGTCCAAGTAGGTGCATTATTTTACTTCTAATCATTTCTCAGATCTCTTGGAGTAGAAGTCCATATTTTTCCTCTTTGCAGCTGTATCTTAGAATAATGATGGCATGTGCATATATGTCCCGTTGATAATAAGAGTTTGTGGTTGGCCTCTTGGATGTCTTCCTAGGATTAATGCAGTAGATGGAAAGTCTTGTTTCCTATGTTTATGTTCATAGAGAGCTGAAGAAAGCCCAGATGGCGAAAGCTGCAGCTGAGGAAAGAGCACTCTTCACTGACCGGATGGCCACCAGGTCCACCACCCAGAGTAACAGAACGTCTCGGCTTATTGGAAAGAAAATGAAACGCTCTGTCAGCCTTACTATATACTGAACTACCATTCCCACATCCCCCAAAAAACTGTGACAAGAGGAAGCTAGGTTGAAATCACTGCTAGACTCCAGTTTGCAATTACTTCCTCTATTGGTGTCAGTAGCTTTACTGAAATGCCTTTTAGGACTTTGATTTGTGAATTACAGTCGAAAGCTGTATCTTGACCATTGCTGTGTCACACTTTCATCTAATCTGACAGCCTGTCCTTTGCAGGTTGTCAGTCACTGTTACACCGGCCTTCCCAGGGTTAACCACTGCGGTGGTGTGCTGCTTACAGTTTGCTGTTGCATCGTAATAAAAGGTCTTTCCCTGTAGTGACCTGTAAAAAGGACTCAAGGGCTTTATTACAAACATACTCTCCCTTCGCAAAAGGAAATGCTAAGAGACTCAGTACTACTCAGCCTTTAGTGTACCTGTGTGTCAGTCTTAATTTCTCTCTTTTTTAAATTGTGAATTATACTTGTATATCCAACTGGGAGCACTTTGTAGGCATTGCCTGAACCATGGAATGATAATTCTGTGGAAGTATTGCCTTGTGAATTTGCTGCTATTTTAGTTTTTTGTCTTGGCTGTAAAATTGTAGCATTAAACAATCATTGTTGTTAATAGGCTTTCCTTTGAAACAATTATGTGAAATAAGTAGCTGCTCTTGATGAAAAGCAGCTATCTGCCTTTTTTTCTTTGAACTTTGAAGCTAGTGCATTGAGAAATGCACCTTGTCCCCTTTTTGGAACGCTGTATTAATGTAGTATAATTATTACTGGTTTTGTAATTTTTTTCTGATAATGTCCTTCCCTTACTCTTTTTTAAAATGTTTCTTCTCTCCTCCCAAGTTTTGTACTTGATTGTATTATTAGTCTGTTTTTAAATGTTTTGCCCAGTTGCTCTTTGATATTTGTGTATATATACTGATTTTGGTGATACTGTACATAGCTGTTTAAAATGCCAGAATGACTTCTGACTATTCCAAGTTTTTTCACGAAATATGTTTTATCTGTGATTAGTCATTTGACTAATAATAGCTAACAGATTTCATGATAGCAACAAAAAAATAGAATTTATCTTTTGTTCATGTTCTCATTAATTTTGGTTTAAAATAAGTTTGCACTTGTCCGTTTGACTTGTGTTTTATTAACATTGGTTGGCATATTAAAAGTCACTCTGAGCTTACCCTATTGTCTTAAATCTTTGTGATACCTGTTTTATCTCAATTTTACTACACTGTAAGATGTAGAGTATAATGTATATAAAGCATAAAAAGTAGAGGGCACATTTTTGATAAAAAAATGAAACTTACTATTTAATGATGGGCTTTATTTAGTCCATATGACTTACATATCAGGATTCAAGAGAAATTGAGCCATCAACTTTGTTTTTCGTCATAATTTATTTTTAGAAAGTTTTGCTATAGGGAGCATGCACTTGCCAGAGAGACACAGAAAGTGAGAAATCAGCCCCAGGGGAGGTGGCCACATCATAATCCCTTCTCCATTCTCCTCTTGGGACTTTGGGCACACAAGTGCACACACATGGCGTGAGTTTCAAGCCTTTGGGACTCATACTGGTCAGCCACATGGGAGTCCAGTGCCTCAACCATTACACCACCTGCTGGCCCTTTGTCATATTTCGATATCACATTGCATGGTAGGCTTCTAACTTGCCAGAAATGTGGCATAATGCAATTTAAAATCGTTTCAGATTATTGGGACCAGCAGGAGGTGTGGGTAAAGGCACTGGACGTTCCCACATGGACGACTGCAGTTTTGAGTCCTGGACTTAGTAACTTGCTTTCTCACTTTCCCTCCCTTTCTCTGGTCAAATAAGTAAATAAATGAATAAATAAAAAATAATTCTTCAAAAAGTTTCAGATTATTAAGTGAGTATAGCAGACAGAGACAGACAGAAAGCGAGAAATCTGCTATACTCAATAATCTGAAACTCTGTCTGATGAGTGCACGCACCCTATAGCAAAAACCTCTGAAAAAAAAGAAAGCTGTCAGGTCTGGGACTCAACTGTAGTCAGCTATGTGGGAGTCCAGCACCCAAACCACCATGCCATAGAAGAGAACTCTAAAGTGAGCTTGACTCATTAAGCTAGGCTGTGTTTCAAGGACTGGGAGCAAACCAGTGATAAACAGCTAATTCTCTGACATCTTTTTCTTTCTTTTTGGAGAGGTTTTTGCTATAGGGCGCGTGCGCTAGCCAGAGAGAGAGAGACAGAAAGTGAGAAATCACCCCCCCAGGGGTGATGGCCACGCCCCAATCCTTCCTCCTCCACTCTCCTCTCTGGATCTCGGGCAAGCATGCACATGCGCCCGGTGTGAGTTTTAAGTCACCGGGTCTGGGACACGAAACGCGGTCGACTATATGGGAGTCCAGCGACATAGCCATTACGCTAACTGCTGGTCCCTCCTATCATCAGGCTCTAGATAGGCCTTTTTCTACTACAGATACTTAATAAGCATGATTATTTTTAGTCAATGGCATCAAAGAGTAAGAGGAACTGGTGCAGAGGGATAAGTTAGATGCAGAAGCTGGTAGATATAAATGACAGAAAACGTAAAAAGCTGCACTGGACTGGATCAGGTAACATGTTTCAGCAGCCACTGAGGACAAAGCTAGAAAGTAGTAGTTGTGGACATTCGAAGTCATGAAGGTGCATTTTTCTGGCTCACTAGCTTCAAAGAAAAAAATCCAGCTATTACAAAGATTGTGGTAGATTTTTTACATACTGAATATTAGATTCAGAAGGGAAAAAAAAAAAAACCAAAAAACTGGTGGTAGTGAAAGAGGGAAGGCCAGAAAGCAAGCGGCCAGATCTGGTACTCAAACCATGGTCAGCCATGTGGGAATCCAGCGCCTTAAGCACTACGCCACTTGCTGGCACCCAAAGGGGAAACTTTAATTTTTTTTTTTTAATTTAGCTTTATTTTAATTTGATCAGAGAGGGTCAGAGCAAGAGAACAAAAGAGAGGGAAGTGAGAAAGCAAGCCACCACACTCTGAACTGTGGTTGGCCATGTGAGAGTCCAGTGCCCCTGACCACCATGACACCTACCAAGCCCATGAAATTGTTTTGTTTTTGTTTTTGAGGTAATTTGCTATAGGGTGCGTGCACTTGCCAGAGAGACAGCTAGAAATCATCCCCCAGGGGGATGACCATGCCACAATCCCTTCTCTATTTTCTTGGGCTTGCACACGCACCAACATGGGGTGAGTTTTAAGCCCCCTAATTCAAAATGCAGGTGGGTACTTGAAAGCCAGCTGGGGGTGGGGGGAGGGAATGCAGTGGACTACGTGGGAGTCCAGCGACATAACCATTACGCCATCTGCTGGTCCTCCAAAGAGGAAATTCTTAAGCAGGCTGATACGGGAGCTGGGCTCATACTCAAGACATTTTTGTTGACAATCTTCTGTGCCAGAAGTCAGTTAGAAACAGTCTGCCCACTGCCACTCACGATAAAATACAGGGCAGCTATGTAAATATATGACAATGGAACAGGGTGAATGCTATGTTGGAGGGATTGTTCAAGATACAGGGATGGTTCAAAAGGCCATACGTGTCTTGGGAAGACACTGGTAATAGATTGGAGAATGGATCCAGGGAAATGATTCAGACTGGTTTCAAGTCATTGTAGCAAAAAGCAGGTAAGAAAAAGGAGGACCTGAAAGAAGGACCCTGCATTCCTATCTTGTTGAATAGAAAAAAGAGGATGGGAATTTTCATCAGATGCAACACTGCACTCCAAATGGTTATTTTTATAATAACTTGTTGGCATCAGGTTGGGAGCCGGAGCTATAAGTGCTAATACCGAAGAACTGAATTTTCCAGAAAACTTAACTAAAACAGAAGTCTGTTACTATCTGAGAGAGGTATTAATTATTATTTTTTATATTACTAATAAAAAATGTGTTTTTTGGAAAGGTGACTTTGGTAAGGAAGACCTTTTTTTTAAAGAATTATTTTATTTAACTTTATTTATTTATTTATTTATTTAAATTTGACCAGAGAGGGACAGAGTGAGAGGGAGAGAAAGAGAGAGGAAAAGTGAGAAAGCAAGCCACCAGGTCCGGGACTCGAACTGCTGTCCACCATGTGGGAGTCCAGCACTCTTAACCACCATGCCACCTGCCAGTCCCAGTAAGGAAGAAATTTTAAAATTCCAAATATACAACTGGGCAGGAGGAATCACATATTACAATTGACTGCAAATTTAAACCGTTGCCTTAACTCTATGCTGCCAAGCATCCAAGAGCAATCCCTTCGCCTCCATTCTCCTCTCAGGGTTTTGGGAACATAATGCGGCCGGCTGAGTTTTAAGCTGCTGGATCTGGGAGCAGTAGCACCCTTTAACTAACAAACTAACATCTGAAGAGCTAATTCTCAAGCTTTGATTTTCACCTCATTTTGTTGCATAGATCAAGAAATGATGGCATTTTGGGATCAGCAGATAGTGTAATGGCTATGTCCCTGGACTCTCATGTAGTCGACTGCAGTTTGAGTCCTGGACTTGGTGACTTAAAACTCATGCCAGGTGCATGTGCGTGCGTGTCCAAGATCCTGAGAGGAGAATGGAAGAAGAGATTGTTGTGTGGCCATCCCCCCTGGGGGATGATTTCTTGCTTTCTGTCTCTGTCTTTCTGGTGAGCACACACACCCTGTAGCAAAAACCTCTCAAAAAAAAACAACAGAAAACTTTCTGTGCTACCCGCTCAAGGGTTCATAGGTGTTGTTCTGGGTTGCCGTCGTAACTTAAAGGGAAACTTTCACGATGTCCGGCGCCCTTGATGTCCTGCAGATGAAGTAGGAGGATGTCCTCAAGTTCCTTGCCGCAGGAACCCACCCACTTAGGTGGCACCAACCTTGACTTCCAAGTGGAGCAGTACATCTACAAGAGGCAAAGTGACGGCATCTCCATCGTACATCTGAAGAGGACCTGGGAGAAGCTTCTGCTGGCAGCTCGTCCACTGTTGCCACTGAAAACCCTGCCGACGTCTGTGTCAGATCTTCCAGGAACACTGGGCAGAAGGCTGTGCTGAAGTTTGCTGCTGCCACTGGAGCCACTCCTATTGCTGGTCGCTTCACTCCTGGAACCTTCACTAACCAGATCCAGGCAGCCTTCAGGGAGCCGCATCTTCTGGTGTTGACTGATCCCAAGGCCGACCCGCCTCTCCCAGAGGCATCTTATGTTAATCTATTTGTCAGCTCTGTGCCACACAGCTCCTCCTCTGTGCTGTGTAGACATTGCCATCCCATGGAACAACATGGGAACTTGCTTGGTGGGTCTGATGTGTTGGAAGCTGGCAGGGGAAGTGCTGCACATGCGTGGCACCATCTCCTGTGAACACCCGTGGGAGGTCATGCCTGATCTCTACAATCCTGAAGAGATTGAAAAGGAGGAGCAGGTTGCAGCTGAAAAGGCTGTGACCAAGGAGGAATTTCAGGGTGAATGGACAGCTCCCGCTCCTGAGTTTACTGCTACTCAGTCTGAGGTCACAGACTGGCCTGAAGGTGTGCAGGTGTCCTCCGTGCCCATCCAGCAGTTCCCTGCTGAAGACTGGAGTGCTCAGCCTGCCACCGAAGACTGGTCTTCAGCCCCCACTGCTCAGGCCACTGAACGGGTGGGAACAACCACTGAGTGGTCTTGAGTCTGCTCTTCATAGACTCTTACAAAAAGTGGAAATAAGGAAAGATAACGAAAATAAACAACAGTTTATAAAAAAAAAAAAAGAAAAGAAAAGGAACAATGGCTTTTTAAAAGTTCACAACAGCTGGACATAGGTAATGCTTCAGGCTGTCCCCCAGTTCTTAGCAGCTGCATCCTAATACCGGAGTAGTTCTTCCTCCCCAGTCCTTCTCCATCAAGTATCTCATG